TAATTACATTGCAGACCTTACTACAGCTTTGCCTCCATTGCAACCGTAAATGAAATTCCGGATGGCAACATACAATTCTTCGGCGCTCCTGGGATCAAACACTTCCACCCCATGATGCCCGGTATCCAGAAACTGCGGCACCACCCTAACCCCGTGCACCCTCAACCACTCCGCCAGCTCCTTCTGCCTATCCACCAGTGGGTCCCCTGCGTATCCTCTCACCAAACTCCTCGGCAGCCGTCCGATCTTCTCCCCCAGCTGGGGCCCATCAGTGAACGGGTTAGCAAACTCGTGGTCACGAACCGCCCCCTTCGGCAACGCTAGGGCCCACATCAGGTCGTTGACATGCAACGGAACGACCTTATCGTTGACCAGTCTTCTCTCAGATTCCGTTCTCTGGACCCCACCGAAGTACGGCTGGTTCATTATCAGCCCTTCGATCTTCACCGGAGAGAGATCGGTGTCGAGCGCAAGCAATGCCGCGTGGTACACGATATTCCCCCCGGCGCTACTCCCCATCAGGAAAGTTCTAGAGAAGTCTACCAGCTCAGTCATCCACGGATCGCAGTTCCCGCCGCTCCCGGCGGCAATCGCCTGATCTTTTGCCCACAGGAGAGCGTCCACGGCGTCATCGTACGCGGCGGGGAGGCGGTGCTCCGGGGCCAGACGGTACTCGACGGATGCGATGACGGCGGGAAGCAGAGCTGCCATCCTGTTACAGGATTCGTGGTAAATGATGGATGTGACACTGAACAGTATGAAGCCGCCTCCATGGAAGTAGATGAGTAGAGGGAGCTTGGACGGCGACGGAGAATTTGAATCAGACGGAGGCGGCGGGGGGCGGAAGAGGCGGATGAAGGTGGCGGTGGAGGGGTTGAGAGGGATGTCTTTGGAGAGGGGAAATTGGGGATCTGACGGGTTGGAGGGTGAGACCGGAACTGATTTTAGTCTGGTGAGGGAGCCATCAGGGTTGGGGACACTCTTGAGGAATTTGTAGGCTTCTTCTTCCCTTTTCTTGGAGTCCATGGATCGGAGTTTGACGATGGTGATGGCCTTTGGTCACTCATGGTTAGTTAATGGGTAAGAAGGCCCTGATTGGAGTTGTTGGTTGGATTGATGTAACATAAATATCTTCTTACTTTCCTTTTTTGGACGTAACACTAATATCTTCCCATTTCTAAATCTTCTCATCATACCCTCAATAATTTTAAAAATAATACACTATTACACCTACTTTTTTTGGATTTATCCTTCATTCCATCACATTATTTCACTATCTTCCCATCATACCCCTAATAATACACATCTCCTTTTACTATTCTTAATCTACATACTTTTCAAATGGGAACATCCCAATGTTACGGAGGTAGTAATATTTATTGCATTTACAATAATGATCAGAGTAGGGCATGCATGCATGGTGGGGTTAACTAATTTAGCATGTGTCCATAAATAGGGAGGTATTGCGTTTGTTAGCCTTTGCTTTCAAATTGAGATGCAAATTTTGTGTTTTTTTAGTCAAACTATTTTAGTTTATTTACTTAATTCCGATGTGTTTCAAAGTTTAATTAGATTGTAATTCGAAGTTTGAAACTTTGATTAGGTTTTAATAAAATTTCTGAATATGTAAATTTTAATTATTAAAAATTGAATTAATTATATATATGAAGTATTGATTTTTATTATTGGTTGACGAAAAAATGTTGACTTTGCAAAATAATTTGGGAGAGATTGAGTTTTACTCCTCGTAAAAAAACTCTTACATTACTCACAATTTTATTATTATTACTATTACTATTACTATTATTATTACTGTTACTATTACTATTACAATTACTATTATTATTATTATTATTTTGGTAGAGACACTTTTTATCCTCGTCCTTAAAGGTTCTTATATTTAGTTTATTGGGTATTATCAAACTGACATTTTTACTTATTTCAACATGATTTTGACACAACATTATAACATTTGCAGGATAAAAAATGTCACTTTCATGAAACTAGAAAGACTAAATAAGAAAGTATTTAAAATGGGTATCAAATTTGAGTATTAGCAAAATTGATCGTAAGAATAAAAGTGTCAAAAACTGGTAAAACATGTCATTGCAAAATCATGCATATAATTAATCCATGTTTAACACACACATATATGTATGTATATGTATGTGTGTGTGTGTGTGTCTATATATATATATATATATATATATATATATATATATATATATATATATATATATATATATATATATATATATAACATAAACGAGGAGAAATTGATTTTGCATTTCATTTTAAAAAATTCTTAGTAAAATTTGATTTCGCACTCTTCTAAAAAGAAGTTAATGTGTGCAATTTAATAATCATGACATGAGGAGTGAAATTTACTTTTTTTAATTAAAAAGTTGATCGAGTTACCCTAATTTTAAATAAAATGAGTGCCAATTTTGAATTAAACGGATGCGTTTCCCCACATTTTCAACCAGATTTATCATCACTCATCAGGATGATTATTGTTGGAGCTGAGGTGATTCTTAAATGGTCTACCCATCAACGTTTTTTTAATAGCTTAATGGGTTAACTTGGTAAATGATTTATTAGAACAAACAATTATATTTAGCTTGTTTATTCGAAAAACATTACAAATAGAAAAGCAGCGTTGATTTCTTAGATTTTTATTAACGGATTTTTAATTTATTTCTTTTAAAATCTAATTTACCCTCAGATTATACTTTTTTCAATAAATATTGAGTTCACAAATTTTATTTAATAAATTGAAATGAAATAAAAATGTAATAACAATAATAAGGAATGTCATAAAATACTGTCACCTTTTATAATACGTAGAATTATTTTAACACTAATAAAATAAAATATTTAAAATGAAACAATTAATAATAAAATAAATGAATGCGGTGGGTGAACGCATGCGGCATGCATGCACGGGCGCAAACACAAAATATTACTATCATAGTGATTAAATACATAATAATTCATATGATTCTAAAAAAGCTCACAATAAACTTATGTGTAGGTAAACATATACGAAGTATGTGTCACCACTCACTAATAATGTGGAAAGTATGCGGACCATCAAATGGGTACATAGAGATGAGTACGACTAATTTTTACCCGGAGGCCGTCGCTAAAATATGATTGCATATTGGCCTGCAAGGGTAGCGGAGCTTGTGGGGTACGAGATATATTGTAATTTTCAAACCTTTTTAGTCATATTTCGGATAATATTCTCGATGTTTTATCGTGGTTAAAGTTCAAGGCTGGATAAATGTCAAGTTAGAGACGGATTCGTTAATGGTTGTCTCAAGCTTTATGAACGGGGAGGATTCATATTTTGATACAATCACTGATGATAGAAGACATAATCTTCGGATCGAAGCTAGTATTTAAGGGATTCAATGTATGTTGCCCGCAAATGTAGTAGCTCATAAGTAGCTAGGATTGCTCTTTCTTTATCGGATAGTCGATGTAGTTTTTTTAATATTCCTCTTGACTGTGTTGTTAGTAGGGGTGGACAAAAATACCGAATCGACCTGGTAGCCAGTGGGGGAACTAGAAAATATTTCAAGCGGGGCACAATCACATACTTTAAACCATCACATGATAATATTTACCGAAAACAACTATAATTAAGTTAAACTATTTTAAATTCATAATTTCATACCAATAATAAATTATATACGCCTCGCATTAACTATATTCGTTTTTCGAGAAAAACTTCCACCGGTTACTTTCATCTCTTCTTCTCTCACAGTTTAAGTACCTCCTATGCTAACAGAAATCATCTGTCCTTCTACCACTGAAGCTACGTCTCTGTCTCGTCTTGCATGTCTCCGGAACTGATTCTCGGTCGTGTGTTAGTCGCTCGCTCTAACTGGTAAAATCTCTAATAAGTTTTCCTCGAACTTCACATTTTTTAACGTTTTCTACTTCTCCTTTCGATTTCAATTTCTTCCAAATTCAGAAAACCTAATGTAGAACTCTTGTATTGACCGATTAACGCTGAGAAATTGAATATCAGTCTATATTTGAATACTTGTCCAATTTCGATTTCATTGTGTTGCATGTTGTTTTTTGAATTTGTTTTGATTCACTTACCTGTGTTTTTGTTCTTCGAGGAATGAACGTTGTTCAAATGTGTAGCACAATTGATTTGTAATTAAGATACTACACACTTTGCATGCACTGATATGTACGGAATTGAAAAATATCCTGCATACACTCCATCACTAGACACAAATTTGCCATGATAATCTATAGTCACTTGTATAGATGAAATCTCTATCCAATTTGTTAGTTCAAGCATGAACCTAATTTCATATCGTTATTAAACGAAGTTGAAACAAGCCATCTTCTGCTGCTACTTTCATTATCTGGGTCAAACTAAACGTGAAACTAAGGGTGAAATCAAAGGCGAAACTGAAGGTGAAACCAAAGGTGGGTGGTGACAATTCAAATGCGGTAAACTTATATATCTACATAGACCAATCAATAGTTCAGGTCACACACTCCCATAATCCATTTTATCATAAAGTAAACTAACCTCTTGGCCTAATCTGAAAAATACCATCTGATTTCAAAGTAGCACGATCTATCATTTTTGCCACTATGTTTGGTGTTTGGTTTTAAATCTCTATTATTTATTCATGTTTGACTCTAAGTATTTTCTGTTTTCTATCATATTTGTTCTGGGATTGATCCTAGTGTATTAATTGTTACTAGTGACTATGTAGTAGTAACTGTTGTACTCTAGTGTTCTATGTTTTAATTGTTCTCTGTACTTTCTATTGTATTACTAATGGATTAAATATCATTGGTCTTTCATTTTTTTTCATAAAAGAAGCCTAAGAAGCCTCATTACAGAAATTAAACATAACCAAGTCATACATTCACTCAGTTCGCACACAGCCCATTGCAGATTAACAATCGGTCAAAATGTGCTAGGAAAATTTTCTAATAAAGAAACTAAAATTCGTGCTATACGATAAGAAAAAACACAAAATAAAAATAAGACAATACAAGCCTTGAAGCAATCCAAAAGTTTGAGTTCAACATAAGACGTTGCTGCTAATCTAGGAAGTTGGCTTTTGCTTCTTGGGCATCCTGTAACCGCCAACAACACAAGCATGATCACGCTCAAACGGTTCAAGGGTAACCTGTTCACTTGGCTTGAATTGATCTGCTTGCAGCTTCTTAACCTCTTGTGCAAATACAGCCTCAGCAGGTACAGTGCTATCAATGCAATTAGCCTTTATGGATATGACAAAATGCCCTTCTGCTTTCAAAAAGTAGGAGGCATTCAGTGCTAGAATCCTTGCCTGATCAGGCTGAGCAACATCAGAAAATATGATATCAACCATTCCAACTAACATCCTGTATTTAGCAGGATGTCGGGCATCTTCAATAATGGGAATAACATTAGTACGTTTCTTTGCCATGTTCACTAAATCTCTACCACTTCTGTTTGAAAACTCAACTGCATAGACAACACCAGTAGGGCCAATAAGGTCAGAAACATGTGAGACAGTTGTTCCAGACGCAACACCAAGATAAAGAACACGTGCGCCGGGTTTAATCCAAATTTCATCAACGCCTCCAAGAATTGCAGCGGCCAGCTTAGAACGGAAAGGATTTCCATACTCTGTACTCAACCTTGGTTACATCTTCATTCTGAACGGAAATCCTTTTCTCATTGTAGACAGAGTCGCCAGGTACCAGATTCTTAGTAACAAGTGCATCCTCCTTCCCCTTCGCAATGAACACTCCCTCGTGCCTATGAGGCTCCACAACAACCTTGCTCCCTCCTTTCATTCCTCCACGTCCTCCTCCTCTTCCTCTTCCGCCACCTCTACCTCCATCACGTTTCATCGCACTCCCTCTGCCTCCACTGAATGCTCCCCTACCCCTTCCTCGTCCTCCACCCGCCGCTAAACCCGCCGCTGCCTCCACGACCTCTGGCAAGCATAACCATTGTCACTGGCGCTGAGCTTCTATGGTGACTGGGGCAACTAGGGTTTAACAAATGGAAGCTGATCATTCTTCTCATAACAAAAAAAAATCAGCAATGTCGGACAATGACTTTGTTTCCACACCGCCCTTACCACCGGTTCCTTCTTCTGTTCAGAAGAAAGATACACAGTCAGCATCCAATTTAGTAAGTTTTTTTTATCATTTCCTTTCAAAGAAGGAGACATTTGCCTGCTTATGCCTCCTCCCACCTCCCCAAACTCAACCCCCATTCATACCAGGTCATCCTCTAAATCACTCAAACTAAAACAACAATACTTTTAGAAAAACAGTTTACACTTACACTTGCATAGTGATATTATGCTGACACAAACACATTTATGACACTTGTATATCAGAAATTATTGATATTATTACATTAAGAATAGTAGTGACACTCTAGGTCAATTTATTAAATAAAATTAGATTTTCAATAAAATCATAACCGAAAAATTACATGTTGACTACATATCCATTCTGCCTCATTCCCTTATTCACTTTAGTTCCATTTCGCTAGCTAGCTAGTAGGTAATAAATCTCTAGCTAGAACTTCTATATTTACCTCCTTTAGTTTTAATTCAACCTATAAGTCATAATCTTTTGAAATCAAGGATAATAAACTTTTACCCTTGACACAAATCAGGTTCTTAAGTTCCACTACAATATGTTTTAAATTTTCTACCCTTGAAGGAGCAGAAACTGAAGTTGGAATATTTGGGTGAAAGTGTAAAAATGGTTCTGGTGCTCTAATTTACTTCTAGAATCGGTTTTTTAGAAGTTGGGAAAACCACCTTCTGAAAATTGATTTTGTTTTTGCTTTACAAAAGAATAGAAGCATAATCAATTTCAAACACCCTATCTTTCAGCCTGGTGAGGGAGCCATCAGCGTTGGGAACAATCTTGAGGAATTTGTAGGCTTCTTCCTTTTTGTTAGAATCCATTTAGTTTGATGGAGATGATAGCCGATCGTCACTCATGGTTTATGATTATCGGGCCACTGTATTAGAAGGATCGGAATGATGAAAATATTTGTTGCAATTAATTTGTGTACGTATCACTCGTAGAGTCGTAGTAGTAGTATAACGAGAGACAGTTGGGAATGTATAACTGCAACCATTTTGACGATTCATTTTTTCCCTATTGACCAGTTTCAAGGTCATTTATAACTAAAGTGGTAAATTTTAATGTGTCGATATTGGATAACAAATTGTGAAAGTAAAATCATTGATCATGTGAGCCATATTGAACTTTTATAACTTGATTAGGAAAATTTGATTTTGCCCATCTTTTTCTTCGGCTGAAATTTGGGTTTAAGTGTTCAAAATTGAATGTTATGCCTTCAAATATAAAACATACACCCTCTGTCCGGAAAAGGTTCGTCAACTTTAATTTTCACGTAAATTAATAAAGTAAAAACTGTGTGGTTGAAACTTGTTCAGAAGAGAGAGAATTAACTTTAGCCACATATTCTTTACTTTAAATGGAAATGACAAATTTTTTTGGGACATTCAGAAAAGGAAATTTGACAAACCTTTTCGGGACGGAAAGAGTAATATGGAGTATTAATAATAAATTAAAATGAAAAACAAACAAAAGATGACAAATAAGAAGCTGAAGCGGAAAACATGCAGAAGGCACGAAGAAGCTCCAGGGTGTGTAAGATTTTTTCCCAACAGCCTATGGTGTTCTACTATTCGTACTCTATCCTAGGAATGAAATACTAAAATAGGGGCAAACATTTTAAGAAATAAGGAAACACGGACAGCCTAATAATTAATAGAAGCAAAATGAAGAAAATTGGCAGGTTAAGTGGTTAACTCAATTATTCAGTGACTCGAGTAGTGGAGTTTGTCTCCAAGCCTCCAAGCATCTACAAGGAGCGGCGTTAGAAACTAATGCCTCCTTAACTCAATCTGATGAATCTGGATTTCAAAGAGATCGAAGAAGCCAATGGTTACGGGACTTACGGCGTTAGAAACTAGATTCAAAATCTTCAAATTTGTATGTACTTAGCAAATGTAGTAGCTCACAAATTAGATTCAAAATCTTCAAATTTGTATAGATTCAAAATCTTCAAATTTGTATGTACTTGGCAAATGTAGTAGCTCACAAACAAGATTCAAAATCTTCAAATTTGTATGTACTTAGCAAATGTAGTGCTCACAAATTAGCTAGAGTTTTTTTGTTGTTGGATAAACCAATTCTTTTTAATGTTCCTCTGACTGTATCCTACGTTAGCCACTCAGCCAATTGGAGAACGAGCATAAAAAATAGTAACGTCGAAGTTATTTTTCGAACTAAATTGATTGAAGTTATTATAAAGATCAGAGTGATGTTATTTGTTTTTCATATATAGTTTCTTTATTTTATTAATAAAATAAAGAAGTAACATTTATATACTACATATAATTTTTCACAATTCACAGGGTTCAGCCACTTCAACCAAAATTCCGCCGTTTTAGTCAGAAATTAATCAAATTTAATCAATTAATAATTTGAGTGCTATAAAAAATGTTCTGAAAACACTATGAAGAACTCAATGTACTAGCCCCATGGGTCATCCTCAGTAATATTCTAGTACATCCATGTAAATAAGGTGTGATACTTTGTATCTTTAATAATTAATATGATCATAAATAATTTAGCCTAAATAGAAATAAAAGTATTCTGTGTTCATGAAGTAAGAATACTACTACGTACTTTCTCACTTAGGTACCTAGACCAATAACAAGCGCCCATTAGACATGACCATAATTAGTGTAGTGTTTCTAGACAGAAGAAAAATATCCAATTGTACGTAGACGGTAGTATTTCAAAAAAAAAATCAATTGATACTCTCATTATTTTTCCAATTGGCAAGCACTATTTCCACAACTTTCAACATTTATTCAGGCATTATTAAGAGAAAAGCTTTTGGCAGATGAAAATAGAAGCTTTTAGAACAAAAGTGTACAATACATGTCAATATAACCAAAAACTCGATCATACGGAGTAAATGAAATTCTTGATGGAAACATACAAATCATCGGCGCACTTTGGATCAAACAGCTCCACCGCATGATGCCCCGCCTCCAGAAATTGCGGCACCACGCTAACCCCGTGCACCTTCAACCACTCCGCCATCTCCTTCTGCCTATCCACCAGTGGGTCCCCCGCGTATCCTCTCACCAAACTCCTCGGCAGCCGTCCGATCTTCTCCCCCAGCTGGGACCCAACAATGAACGGGTTAGAATACTCGTAGTCCCGGTCCGCCCCCTTCGGCAACGCCAGGGCCCACAGCAGGTCGTTGGCATGCAACGGAATCACCTTATCGTTGACCAGTCTCCTCTCCGATTCGGATCTCTGGACCCCACCAAAGTACGGCTCGTTCATTATCAGCCCTTCGATCTTCACGGGAGAGAGATCGGTCTCGAGCGCACGCAATGCCGCGTGGTAGACGATGTTTCCCCCCGCGCTGCTCCCCATCAAGAAAATTCTAGAGAAGTCCACCAGCTCAGCCATCCACGGATCACAGTCCCCGCCGCTCGCGGCGGCCACCGCCTGATCCCGTGCCCACACGAGAGCATCCGCGGCGTCCTCGTACGCGGCGGGTAGACGGTGCTCCGGGGCGAGACGGTACTCGACGGATGCGACGACGGCGGGGAGCAGAGCCGCCATTTTGTTGCAGGAGTCGTGGAAAACGATGGACGCGGCGCTGAGAAGTACGAAGCCGCCTCCGTGGAAGTAGATGATCAGAGGGAGCTTGGACGTCGCCGGAGATGAGGAATTTGAATCGGAGGGAGGCGGCGGGGGGCGGAAGAGGCGGATGAAGGTGGCGGAGGAGGGGTTGAGAGGGATGTCTTTGGAGAGGGGAAAGTGGGGATCCGACGGGTTGGAGGGTGAGATGGGAACGCCGTCTAGCCTGGTGAGGGATCCATCAGCGTTGGGAACAATCTTCAGGAATTTGTAGGCTTCTTCTTCCTCCTTTTTGTTAGAATCCATGGAGTTTGACGAAGATGATAGCTGATCGTCGCTCATATTATAAGAAGCTAGCTAGGATGGGATGGGAGTTAGTTGGATTGATGATATATTTATTGCAATTATAGGACTCCGTACCAGTAAAAATAATTAGTGTAGGGCATGCATGCATGATCAGCATGCAATCCATATCTGCAACCATCTAGACGGTTCATTTATTGGGTTTACTCCAGAATCCGGATGCCGGAATACAATGTTTATTTGTTTTTCCCTTTTGACTAGATTTTTGAAATATGAACTTAGTGATATGTTTTAGTAAAAAAACTTAGTGATATGTAACAGTTTTTAGAACATAATTACATAATCTTGAGTTACTCCAGAATCCGGATGCCGGAAATCTCGGGGGAATAAAATCAAACAAGGGAGCAATCTGACATGAGCAAGAACACCAAGAGCCCGTTTGGTAGCACCAAAATCGGCTGTTTCGGCTGATTCTGCTGAAATTTATGATATTCTGGCTGGAGTGGCTGTTTTGGCTGATTCTGCTGATTTAAGAAAAAAAAATTTTAAAAATATATTTTATTAATAAATTAAAGAAAAAATTATATGTAAAAATAGCTAAAATGGTCCTCTACAGTAACTTCAGCCAATACAGCCAGAAAAGTAACTTCAACCTTACTTTTTCGGCTTATTACACAATTCAGCGCGCGAAAGTAAAAGTTACGTGTTTGGTGAAAAAGCTGGCTGATAAGCCTGATAAGCCGAAAACAGAGTTCTCCAAACGGGCTCCAAATCATGATTCATCTATCTAATTTATATCAGGAAATTAATTATGTGACAATTCAATAACTAATTAAAAGGTAAGAATTATAGAAAATAAAAACTGATTTTTAGAGATATGGATAGAGAAGCTATGTCGAAATCACTAAATTTTAGTGCGTCTATAACAAAATGTGAATGTAACTTAAATTAAGGAAAATTTGAAAGTTGGGTTTGCCCTTCTCTATTACGTAGTAAAAGATTACTCATGAAAGTTGGGTTGTCCATCATTTTGCTATCTCTGTTCATTGGTATTATTCATTAATAATCACATGTGCTTCTTTAGTTCTTTAATTATTAATCTTAATTTCAGTTAATAGATACTACGTACTATCGTATTATTCTTTAATCACAGGTGCTTCTTTAAACTTAGAGACAATTCCTAATATGGGAGTAGAACATAGATAATATGCCAAAATAGGAGTCCTACTTTATCAGCCATGTTTGACACGGGATTTTTATGTAAGTGAGTGTATTACCCTTAATGAAAAGAAGCTGAAGACTTCCGTTCTCGTAATGAAAGATGGATTATTTATTAGTTATTCATTAGTTAATACGGAGCACAAAACAAAATACAAAAGTAGAGTTTTACAAAGATCTGATCTAAATACTACCACACCAGATTTGTGCCACCGGCCACCATCTCCTGTGCTGCTGTCGTCGGCACTACCGTCGCCGCCGACGTCACCAATGTGCTACTGCTCTCAAGAGACTCTTCATTTGTCACTTCCGTATTTTCCAGCGCCGCCGCCGCCGCCCTCCGGCGAGCCCTCCGCTTGGACTGCTGTGGGAGAAGCTAATTCGTGTCAGGCTTAATTGATTACAAGCAAATTTTATAATGATTTTACTTTAATTTTATCAGGTCTATTTCTTCAATTTTGCTTCAATTTTACCAGATCTATCTCCAGATCTATTTTATCTTTTTTTGTTGATTTTTCTACTTTTTCTCTTTCAATTTTGTTTAAGCTTATGTTTTTTGATATTTAATTTATATTTGGCAATACAAAATATAATTTTTGAAATCTGGTTTCAATCAATATTTTTGTAATTTTCCGGATTATTTTATGAATTGAATCTATAATTGCTAATGTTTATTTTGCACTTATTGCCAGATTTTTTCCATTTCTTATGTTACTCCATCGGGATGGCAAATAGTGCCAAATTTTTATTATATACAAAAGATGTTATTTTTTTCATTTATTGTCATTTGTGTATGGCACTAAATACATGAAGATGGCAATATTATGAATGCAAAATGACATTTTTGGCCAAACATTTTGAAAACATAACATTTGTAAAACAATTTTGACATATTTTTGTGTAAAATGACAATTTTGCCAAACATTTTGAAAGCATGGCATTTGTAAAATAATTTTGCCATGTTTTTTTGTAACGCCCCTCTCAGGGTTAAAGGAAACGTTACACTAACTTACTACTTTTAAAAATAACTGCAATATAATGGCCATCTATTTAAGAAAATAGCCCTGATAAAATTTCAAATATAACTAAAATATAGCTCCAAATAAAAACTCAATAAAATCTAGTTATCACCAGAAAATGTGATAACCACCTGGATCCAGGAATTTATTCAAACTTCAAATAATCCAAATAAATACTCCAAACTTAATCAAATAATATCAATCACTTTTTATAAAATTGAAACACTTCAATAAAATAAACTAGCTAGGAGCCGCCAAGGTCGTTCCCGTTAACTCATCTTGGCACGCGTTCCACTCTCTCATCATCTTCCTAGGCCTTGGCCTTACCTTTACTATCTGTACATGCGAAGAAAGAAAACTGATAAGCTTTACGCTTAGTAAGTCACTATGGCTCCACAAAAATATCTAGAAGTCTATGCCAATTTATCAATAGATAAATTTAGGCTATAAGCATGCACTAAACAATTAACTAACACATAACTTCTCAAATACATTCTGAGAGAGATCTCAAAGGAAAATATTTTCTAAAATATTTTTTCTCAAAACTGCTGGAGAGATCTCAAAATTTCTTTCTCAAAACATCTCTGTAAAACTTTCTGAAAGAGATCTCAACACAACTTTCTGTAAAACTTTCTGAAAGAGATCTCATAAACTTTCTGTAAAACTCTTTGTGGCTAATTTTAGCTGTGGGCCCGTGATATGTACTCAAAGGCGCCAATCCGACAGCTCAGGGGAGCGACCCACTAAACATATCGGACTCTCTGAAACTGATAAGCTGATAATTGATAAACTGAGGGAACTTGTTCCCGAGTACATATCACCTGATCTTTCACTTTAAGTATTAGTTCTTTTTATGGTGACGTTTGACTAAAAATATCATTTATTCTGAAACAAAAGTACTGACAAATCTTGACTATGCCAGATAATAAGCATAACTTAATCTAGCAAATAACATAACTCATCACATAATTCACATAGTTCACATAATAGCAAATAGTCTAAAATTATCTATTAAAAATCAACCAGACTTCTTTCTTGCATTTGGTTGGACAAACATGTACAGGTGGTAGTGAACTTACCTGTTAACAGCTGAACTCAAAATACTCAGATAAGTGTGGCACCTTGATAACGTCTTCCGGTAAACTCTTCCTTGAAATCTTTAATGATATATAATAAGATAATTATTGATTTGATGTCTTAAACCATGTGAAATCCCATGTCTCATAAACTAAGGTAAATTAACTAAACCAGTAAGTTAGAGTAAAACTTTTAAAAGAAAATGAACTTGGTTGATTATTACGACTAAAAAAAATAGTAGCAGCAGCCTTCAAGAATTCTTTGTAAACAGTTTTCACCCCATACAGAATGAAGGCTTAACAAAATTAGCTACAGAAAGTGACTACCGATGAAATTGAAAATCAAAATTTTCCTGCGGGTAATGATTTGAAAGCATGAGATCTTAATTAGACAATATTGCATAAGAAAACTTTGCAATAGAGCCATACTAGAAGTTTAGTGAAGGAAGAATTTGATCCGGAAACTTAAATTTCTTGATCAGAAAAATTTGAATCAAGTCCGTACACTTTCACTCTACCGGCGAAAATTATGAACTGATCAATAACTATCAATCTAAGTTACCAACTTTTTTCAAAACTAGCTGTAACTGGAGTAATAACTAAAGATACAGAGCAATGGACCTACAACAGAAACTCAAAACTACTGCTGCACCAGTTGAATTCATGGGTTTACAAAGCATGAAATTTCAATGGAAAACTATAATTGGAAAAGTGACAGTGGAAAGCAGCAAACTTGCAGTTTCGAAAAGGAAGATTTGATCAACTGAAACCTCGAAATCAAATTCAACTAGAGGATACTATCAAACCTAACATTTACTATCGATCAACCCAATCGCTCAACCATAAGAAAACAAATAAGAATGAGGAAGGCAAGGAATCGGACTTACCCGTCAGAAAATTTTTAACGAAGAAACCGGCTGAATAAGGTAGAACGGTAGAAGGCTATGGCGGCCAGCATAACAAAAACAAAGCCCTGGGATGTCTTTTATACCTTAACTAAGGAAAGGTCCAATTCATCTAAGTAAAATACGGAGTAAATCGGTGAATGGTTTGGGCCAAAAAAAAAACATACGGAGTAATTGATTGGGTCTCTGAACTATGGTTATGTAAAAAAAAAATGTTTATACCGGAGCTATATAAAAAAATAATCCCTTACAAAATAAACTGATTAAACTATACTCCGTAGAGCATTATTTACTTATTATTCATTTATGATTTCTGGAGTTTACCGGTCAACGTTACCTGCCAAGACAACACTCGATCAAACAATAAATCACATTATTCATAAATCAAATTTATTTAACTGATTAAATAAAATGATTACTATAACTAACTCACTAAATCTGGGTGTTACAACCCCTCTCACCTTATAAAAGTTTCGTCCTCGAAACTTAAAACTACATGGTAAAGTTTCACAATATTTCATGCTAAACTTTTCACATGGCTTTAGCACAACTATAATAGCTTTATACCTTTCACAAGGTTACTTCCTTTATTTCTCGAACATATAACTTAAATGTAGGAAATATGTACTGACTTTTCTTCGGATTATCAGACTGGTCATACTGGTAGTTTTGGGTTCAGAAATACAACTACCTCTTATAGTGACCCACACAAAGATCTCAACAACTCCGTGATAAACGACCTTGATAAGAAAACTTGCCTAACACTGTAATGTTTTCTGCTAACACTACAACACAAATTCACAAGCTCACAACATAGAATTACTTTGCCCTGTTTGCTTATTAAACTGAAAA